AGCCCCCCAGCAGCTGCCCTGCCGCCATTCCCTCTGCCTGAGCTGCCTGCGCAAGCTGGTGTGCCGCGCCGCCACCGTCGCCTTCATCAGCTGCCCCTTCTGCAGGATGGTGACACTGGTGCCCGAGATGGCTCTGGGTGGTCCTGGGGTGTCGCCGGCCTTGGGAACGCCACGTGAGGAGGAGGAAGAGGAAGGGGAGGAAGGCAGCGGTGCCCCCCCAGCCACCCGACAAGCCTCAGCGCGCCCTGTGGAGGTGGCGTGTGCGACTCACGCCCCCATCTTTGCGGTGAGCAGCATGGTGTCCCCCTGGGGCCTCCGCCGCGGCTCTGAGGCACCGGGCGCCTTTATGCTGGGGCTGCCGGGGCGGGGGCTGCTGCTGGACACACAGCCCCCCCTCGCCTCCATGGAGAACCTGCGCCTCGGCTTCGCTGCCGGCATCCTCATCCTCATCGTCTCCACCTTCTTCCTGCTCGTCTTCCTCAAGTAGGTCCCATGGGGGGAGAGGGGCTCACAGCCCGCATCGCAGCCCCCTGCCACCTGCCCTGGGGTGGCCAGGATGGACCCAGCGGTGGGTCAGGGGCTTCTCAGGCTGTGGCCAGCTCAGCCCTGGGCAGGCAGGGAGGGGGCCAAGGATGGGGCTGAGGGCTCAGCACCTCCCAGGATCCAGCCCAGGCACGCTGGGGGCCACAGGACGCTCGGCTGCCCCGTACATGAGCCCCGCAGCATCAGACTCTTTAAAAATTAACTTATTGCATCGCTTTCCTTCATCCCCCGGGGTCTGGCTGCGCTCGCATCTGTACCCCCCGGCGGCAGCTCGGCGGGAGCCGCGGCCACGCATGCTTCCCAGTGTCGCAATCCCAGAGGCTGGAAAATTCCCCCAGCTGCACTTCAGTCCATCTCGTCAGGCAGCAAGGACAGGGTGAAAGGGGACGGGAAAGGTCCCACGTTGCGTTTCTGTGGCTTTCCCTTGAGAAGAGCACCCAGTGTGGCACACGCAGGGGGACAAGGCAGTGGGGGAAGGATGCTGCCCCGCGGAGATCTGCAAAAGACATTAAAGACAGACGTTGGCTGAGCACTGTCTCCAGTTGTTTTTCTCTGTACCCGAGGCAGGGAGAGTTTTGCACCAAGAAAAATGTGCTGCCTTTGCTCTCGGCAGGCAGGGCAGGGGCTGGGTGGGATAACCAGGGCCTGGGCATGGAGAAGGGGGTCCTCTGGTCCTCTCCTTGCCCTGGGGGGAAGCGGCTGTTGCATCTCCACCCAGCAACACCCTCTCGGACACATCCTCCCTCTGTGGTACAGTATGCCCACCTCCTGGCCCCAAATAGCACCCAGAAGCAGCCCCTTCGCAGCCCCCCATGATGGCATCTGTCCCCTCCGCAGGACCTGGCACCTCCATCACTCCCAGAGCCCACTCTCCCCCCAGGGAACCCAGAGCTTTCTCACATTCACCCTTCCTGCGCCCAGAGAACATGCGCACATGGGCACAGAGAACAAACATGGCTTAGTTTTGGTCCTGAGACTGAGCCAGAAAGAAACCTGGGAGCTACAGGCTTGGGTAGAGGGAGACACCACCATGGGGAATGGGTTGCAGTACCTTCTGTGCCCACCTTCTAGAGAGCTTAAAATCCCAACTCCTGCACCCCAGTCCCTGCTCACAGGCACAGCAGAGCTGAGCAGGGACCCTCCTGCATCCATAGACCCTGCTCAGGAGAGACTGGGCTGCTGCAAACCCTCCTGAGATGCCCGAGGCCCTTCTGCCCTACAGCCCCATGGAGAACCAGGCGAGTGATCCCCACGTACACCACGACTGTCATCTGTCCCTCAGCTTCTTACACCAACACAGCACAACACGACAGCCTGAGGAGCTGCAGTCACAGCACAAAGGGACCTTCCCTCCTTTCCCAGCAGAGGGTTTAACAGCAGGTAAGGCGATCGAATTTTTGATTTTCTACATCAAATTAGGCTGGAGTCAGTTTTCAACTGCACAGAAATAGATCAAGCCAGACTAAAGTAAAACCCATGCAAGCAAAAAATACAGGTTTAATTGCACTTTATTTTTCAAGAATTGAAACACAAATCCCTCCAGTTGTCTATCTGTAATGGGAAACAAGAAGTGGAATTTGTCAGGATTAGCAATGACCTCCACCAGGGCCCAGCTGCAGACAGGGGGTCTGGGGGACAGGTCGGGGTCCCCAGGACAGGCTGCCCAGCACATCTGGGCTTCGCACCCCACCACGTTCAGCGCTGAGTAACCATTTGGTGCTTCGACCTCTGGAGCGGCTCCCCAGGACACCCCAGCTCAGCTCACCCTGTGAGACAAGAGTGTGTGTGGCAGCAGATCAGCTCTCTCACAGGC